GGGTTTGACCCGGTTCCGTCGGTTCAGACCGGATTCCGGCCGGTTCAGTCCGGCTCAGACCCGGTCCCGGCCGGTTCAGACCGGTTCACTCCGGTTCGGTCAATTCGTTGACCAATTTGGTCAACAGTTGACCGGTTTAGGTCAAATCGGACCGGTTCAGGTCCGGTTTGGGGTCAATTGGACCGGTTTAGACCGGTTCAGGTCAATCTAGGTCCGGTTTAGGACTATTGAGTCCGGTTTAGGCTAATTCAGATCCGGTTTAGGTCAATTGAGTCCGGTTTAGGGCAATTCAGACTAGTTTAGGCTGGTTTAGGTCTTGGTTAAGGTCTGATTTGTCTGGGAAGGGCTAGAATTGTTCGGTTCAGACCAATAGGGTCTGATTGGAGTTGAATTAAGGCCGGTTTAGACTGGTTTAGGTCTAATGTGAGGGTCTGTTCGTCCAATTAGGCTAGAATTAGACCTTATAGGTCAATTGGGTCCGTTATTAGGTAAGATCAGATTGGTTTTAGGCTGGTAGAGGTCTGTTAGGATCTGATTTATCTAGTTAGGGCTGGTATTGGTCGTGTTAGGGCCTAAGTTGGTGGTTCTTTAGGACTAGATTAGGCGGTTTAGGTCTGGAGTGTGAAATTAGGACTAGAACTAACTGGTTTAGGGTTAGGTTGGTCCATATAGGTCTGATGGTGTCTGGTTTTGGGCATAATGGACCGGTTTAGGGTAGATTAGGGTCTGTAGTGATGGGTTTACCTTGTTAGGCTGGTCTAGTATCAAATTTGGTTTGGTTTAGTGAAATACACTAAGGATAGACCTGTTTAGATCTCGGTTTAGCTGATGTGGGTCATAGATTCCGGTTCTTTCTGTTCAGTATAGGTCTGAATAGGTGGATTTGACTACGTTTAGCTGGGTAAGAGGTCGGGTTAGGCTTAAATAGGCTGGTACAGATCTGTAAGAGACTAATTTAGGTCTGATGTAGGACTGTAAGTGCTGTTTAGGTCTTGATTAGGTCTGGTTTAGCCAAATTTGGATTGGTCTAGCTTAGTCTAGGTCTGATCAGTAGGTAATTAAGTCAAAATAGGCTTGGTTAGGTCTGATTAGAGTTTAGAATGTCTATAGAGACATTGTCTAGGTCTGATCAGATTAGTATCTGATTGTAGACTTAGGTATTTTTAGGTATTATCTAGTTTAGGACTAGATAGGACTCCTAAGTGCCAGGTTTGAGTCATAGAGTCCGGTACATTGACCGGTTAGGTCTGATTAGTTGGGATTTGACTAAAACGGGTTGGTTTAGGGGTTGGTTATGTCTAGGATCACTAGGTATAGGTCTGTAGGGATCGGTTTGGATCAGGGCAGGTCTGTAGGAGTTGGTTTTAGACATATATATGATCTGATCAGAAGTAAAGTAGGTCATATTAGGCTTATTTCAGGTCTGATTAGGTTGTTAAAAGTCTAATCAGGGGTTGGTAAGTCAATAGGGGTTGGCTTAGGTTTGATGATTAGGACTTTTAGGTGATTGACTAGGACTTAGGGTCATCTAATCAGGGGTTGGTCGACTAGGGTTGGCATAGGTCTGATTAGGGTAGTGTGATGGTCTAGTCGCGAACAATTCTAGCCCTTCCCAGACAAATCAGACCTTAACCAAGACCTAAACCAGCCTAAACTAGTCTGAATTGCCCTAAACCGGACTCAATTGACCTAAACCGGATCTGAATTAGCCTAAACCGGACTCAATAGTCCTAAACCGGACCTAGATTGACCTGAACCGGTCTAAACCGGTCCAATTGACCCCAAACCGGACCTGAACCGGTCCGATTTGACCTAAACCGGTCAACTGTTGACCAAATTGGTCAATGGACTGACCGAACCGGGGTGAACCGGTCTGAACCGGCCGGGACCGGGACTGAGCCGGACTGAACCGGCCAGAATCCGGTCTGAACCGACGGAACCGGGGCTGAGCCGGACTGACCGCCGATAACCGGACTTGGATCGAATCGAACCAGGTTCGATTGACCCAAACCGGGTTAAACCGAAATTGGATCGATTAAACCGGTGTAA